TAAGCCTTTACGGGCCAAATTGGGGGTTTTGCTCAAAGATGGTCAAATTGACCAAATTAGACCATGGTGTAGTTGGACAAAATGGATTCATGGTGTAGTCTTACCTACTAAGTGCTAGAGGTTAGGACCAATATGTGGAACTTCAAATTGAGTAAAGAGAAGAATTTTTGAGTTTCTAATGGTGAGGGTACCTTTTCTAGTTTTCTAAGACTAGTCAGTAGGAAAGTCCTATGGCTAGACCTAGGCTACTAAAGAAATTTCTAGACCTCAACCAAAAGTGAAGTCAACAGGGCGCAGTCATTCAAAAAATGTTGCTGAACCTTATCGGATCCAGCAAACATCTCACCCACCCATTTGTCCCAAACATAGGATGACGTCATGCATGGAATCTGTCCAATGCTGGAGCTGTAGTACTCCAACAATAATATCGTAATAGCTGCAACCCATGCCATTCTTTTACAGCGTTCTTGTTGTAGATCCATTCTGAAGGGAGAAAGCTATTGGGGAGAAATAATTTATGAATAAGTGGTGATAGAAAAATGAAATAGTAGAAACATCAAGGAGTACAACGCATCAGAAAAGGAATTACATAAATTGTTCAGGAAAAAAGTTATAGTGCTGAGATCAAAATACATAAAAGAAAAACTTATTGCCAGCATAATATAAAAAATACTCATTCTTCCACTAGAACACACAAATACTCAATGCGCAGCTCGGGCCGCAGCACCATGAACATTTTCCTACGAGTAAAGTCCTCAAGTTTTTTTACACATTTTGCATTAAGACGTGTATCGACAATTACTTTTGGAATTACATCCAAAATTACGATGTAGTCTAAGATGGTGCTATCAGGTGGAGCAGCAGGAGGCGGAGTTGCGAAAGCATCAATCAGTTGATAAAATGAGCTTTTCACGAAGGTGTCCTTTTCTTTCTTCTTCCTACCTAGTCTGGGCCTCTTGGACATGGAACTTGACTCCCACTCCCCCATCTCCTTTTGGTTAATACCAGACCTTTCTTCATCAGCTATAACCTGTTCAGGTGACAAGTCATCTGGTATTCCCGTAAACCCCAACTCGCTTGGGTTGAATGCATGCTTTCCCATCGCGACAACCCCCTTAAACATGATGTCCAGTTTCTCTTCGAACTCCAACTCAATTCCGAACTGCTTATATTTTTTTGCTGTTGGCATGTCCTGTATCATTGTATGGAAGGAGAGGAGCTTAGTCACAAAACTAAAAAAATAAGAGTGTACAAAATGAGAGTGTAGTGAGTACCTCCATTTTCTCAACCCACCATTCATTAGGAGCATCAATTGTTTGTTTTACGGGATCCCAACCAAACCCGGTGGATTCACGTTTCAGCTCCTTCCAAATTTTCCACTCCTTCAATTGATTCCATTTGTTTTTGAATTTGAGCACGTCGTAATCCCTTCCTGTCAATTATTTGAACATTTTTACAATATTTTGCCAACCTTTCTTGTTGAAACACGTGGTTGGCCCATTACCGAGTTCAATTTCTGTAATATAGAGATTGCAAAAAATATTTGTAACTTTCTTATCCCACATAGATGACGGACCCCCTTCATTCGTCTTAGTCATGTTGGAACTATATGAAGGATTGACGGTTAAACAGAGCAACATAACATATAATTTTAATATTAATATTAAAGTATTGAGTAATGCTCACATATGTGATTGGCGACATTTACAAACATATCACATTGTTCATATGGATTTGCATGTCTAACACAAAAACATTCAATTATATATATGTTTCATATATGTACCTAGTGTATTCAGAAAATAATCACACCATATGAAACAAAATAATGCTTCACTAATTTGCAACACATCATGGCCATTATCTCCACATGCCAATGTACTCCTCAACATTCTTTCACCACCATCACAGAAAAAAACACAGATTATAAAGCTTGCACAACAATAAAGAGCAAGATCCAACATCATTACCAATAGGGGTGTAAATGAGCCGAACACGAGCGAGCCATGCTCAGCTCGTGTTTGCCTCGTTTATATTTCGAGCTCAAAAAGTGTGTTTGTGTTCTGCTCGTTTATATTTTGAGCTCAAAAAGTGTGTTCATGTTCGGCTTGTTTGCTTAACGAGTCGAACACGAGCTGTTCACGAACAAAGAGTTCTTTTAACACCCCTAATCATTTAGCCATTAGACAATAAGGGTTCCTTGTTGTCAATTAGATTTTTTTAAAATACTGCTTAATATATACTTTATATATATATATATATATATATATACTTGATGAGTAGTATTTCGAGCCAAAACGAGCTGAACACGAACGAACACATCTTAGTTCGTGTTCGGCTCGTTAACTTATTGAACAAAATTAACGAGTCGAACACGAGCTTCTTAACGAGTCGAATACGAGCTTCTTAACGAGTCGAACACGAGCTATTCGCGAACAACGAGCCATTTTGACAGCCCTAATTACCAATCCCAAACATGCCATAAAAGTAAGATTTCAAGAATTTTCATTAAAGCCTCACTGTTGAAGAAATAGTAGAGCTCCAGAAAGGAATATTTACGAGGAAGAAGCACCCTACGCTGTCAGAAGCAATAGCATTTGGACTAATCATATGTTTAAATTACTAAGCAATAATTTGGTGTTACCATATGCCATGCTTGCAATGTCATATGCATAATCTCCATTCCCGAGCATACAAGCGTACAGGCATGCCAAATTCTCAAATTCTCACACAGATATTGAGATTCATAATCTCCATTCCCAACCATACAAGGATACAGACGTCTTGAACATTGCCATCAAATGTCAGTGTTGGCTATGGAGAAGAAGGGATAGTAGAAAATGTTGTCGGTCCATTTTCTAGCACACATTATATAAGAACTGCAATCATTGCAATTACATACATACCATCCAATTCTTATATATTTACATGTGCAAAAACAAACGTTACTGTACTATATATGTTGCATGGGAGAAGTTCAATAATTTAACCCATCTCTCTCAGGGAAATAAAACGGCATTCATTCTTTTCTAAATAAAATGACATTCATTTTCTTCTAAAATGCAATTAAAAAAACTCTTCTCTTGTAAATTATTTTCCACTAGCAGAAGTTTTGCCCCCAAGAAATTGAAAAACAATAAACATCTGTAGAAAAGTCACAACCAATTCATTTTCACTTGGGACATAACTATGCTTGGCTTTCATGCTTCATTAATGGCAATAAATTGCTTGGAATATTAAAGCGAAGTTATTTTCCACTAGCAGCACCATAATTCCATCACCTCTAAAATATATTAAAGCTTTGTGACATCTAATATTTATACACATAAATATGAAACTTTAGATGCTAATTGGATATATTTAAAGGAATTGTGTGGTATACATGACAATTCCCCACAAAACTCCCAGTACAAATCAAATAGCAATGGTTGAAGCTTGCAGCTATAAATTCCTCTCGCGTAATGCTTAAATAAAAGTGATGCTCACTAACATACCATACAAATAGAGTAGGACAATATTTTCATCAACCGTTCAACCAAACTATCCAAAACCAAGAGGTATTTGCATGCATATAAGCCAATTCCTATATATTCGCATACCTGAAATTTTTTCTTAAAAACCCATTATACCACACAAATCTTTCATATAACAACAAAATTACCATCATCTGACCTTTAAAAAGAGAAATAAACTCATTTAAAACCTAAAGTTTCATATTTATGTGATGACTTTAACCATCACAGGCAACCATCTTCTCACAGGAAACATGTTTTTCAGAGCCTGCGAAATTTCAGACGAAGGATACCGGTAATATGAAGGATAAAAAATTTCTCTACAGTTAAATACGAAGAAATTGCACGAAGAAAATCTTGGAACACGAAGGATAAAAAATTTCTTCCCACTAATAGCATTTCCCAACGCATCCCACTAATAGCATTGCCCAACTCACCATAATTCCATCGCCCCTATACCATCACGGGCAACCACACACATATCATTTCTCTACAGGGAAGAAGAGCTGTGCAAAACCATAAGGCATAAGAGGGATACCTGTGAAATTTCACACAACTTTCGATCCACCACCTAACGACCTGTTCACCACCTAAAGGCCAAATGGGAAATGGGAGAGGGGAGGGGTGCACGGGATCGAGGTTCGAGAATAGGGGAGTTTGATCGCAGAGTTGGGGCAACGACGAAGACGGGATCGAGGGGCTGAGGAGTAATAAGTTGTGAGGAAACACGGAACGCGGGGTAAAGGGAGCGGCGAACGATCCTTCGTGTTATAACGTAAACCCTTATGCGCGTTACGAAAATGCACTAACCAAATGCTTCCTCGGCGTTACGAAAACGCCGAACGCATGGATAAGCTGCGCCAAACGGATCCTAAAGCACTATAGAGAGTCCTAGAAATTCAAGGACTTTTGTCATGTTCTTTGGCTCCAACCAATCATAATGGTGATAATTTTTGTTGCTTCATAGAAATGTCATGGACATTGTCTCCAAAATGAAAATGCAGTCAAACTGAGAAGAATACTTGGAATGCTTGGCCCACAGTTAATGTTCTCGAGGGTTTTGTAATGCAATGCAAATGTACAGTTCATGTACGATAGGAAATCATCATTGAAGGTGATCTCAAATCGGTCTAAGGGATGGAGGCTTGACTCATCAATTGAATGAAGGAAGCAAGGATTTCATCAATCCGAATGAATTTATTAGGAACTCGTAATGCTCGTAAGAGGTTTTGAATGCCATCTTTGTCCATCAGTTGTTTTATGATAGAAATTTTCTAAAGCTCTGGTCTTTACATTTTACATATCTACTTTTTGGCATATGAATGTTAGTCTCTTTGTTTTCTTTCTATCATATACTGTTTTTCTATCTTTTCCTCTTGTTTTAGTTGTGTATTATTCTTGTAAGTTCATTCTAATGGTTGTCGACATTGTGATGTTGAATTTCACATTTTTCAAGAAGTTTCATCCATTTTTGCTGTTTATTGTTAGGTGTGCGCTTCTGGTCATGGAAAGAATGGGGCTATTTGTGTGATGCAAAATTCGATTCGACCTGACTTGATAACTGAGGTAATTTGTTTATCTCTTTTCTTATGTATTTTTGAGATAATTGTACTGTTTTGATCATCCAGAAAAATAATGATTTTACCATTATATTTAACTTGGCTTAAGGTTTCTCTAATCCGTAATAACAAAAGATTAATTATTTTTATTATATAACATGTTAGAACCATAGATATACCATTTAAAATTAATTATCAAATTTTCTTTGTTATATTATTTTTTGATTTGATGCATATTTGAGCTTCCTCAAAAGTTTAATTGTTGGTTAAGCTGGTTAATATTGTTGGATTATAGTGAAAACTCTTACGAATAATTTTATATATTTAAAATGTTGAATTATCGTGTCTTTTTAAATAATTTGAGGCTATCCTTTAAAATTTATTATGCTTTGTACGAGACTCATGTTAGTGTGATTAATATTTGAGCAATCGATCATATCTTTCTAAATTTTGTTTGCATGAGCTTGCTATACAGATCATGTCAAGTAGGGCTTATAACTTTATCTAAAACTCATAGTTCTTAGACAATTGCTTGAATTTTAATTAATTTCAAAATGAAAATTCAACCAAAAATCAATAGGGTCACTTTTTTTTTGTCTGTGTATATCTCACATATTAATTAGGATGAGGAATTAAAAAATATAAATAATTTTAATATTAATAGGTTTGGCTCGAATCAAATTTAAAGACTACTGAACATTTATAAATTTCAACTGGAATGAATTTAAATTAAATAAATGAGGCTAACATTGTTAAAGTCGTCTTTTTGTTACTTCTATCATCAATTGTGATAGATAAATTTTGGAGGCCAGTAAAGGCGTTACACTACATTAGAGCAGTAGATTCTAGAAATTATGAAATGCAAACAGTTTCCATATCAGATGATGATGATGATGCTTGGAGCTAATCATATTTTGTATGATGTCAACATAATTTTTAGATTTGAGACTTGGAAGTTATGTCATGATGATGCATATGGAAATATAATTTCTTATCAAATAATTTTTCACAATTGAGTTTTTGATCGGTGATCATATTCTCTAGAGTTTTCATTTATAGGTTTTCAATTTTAATGGATGAGATATTGACTGATGCCTTTCAAATGTTATTTTTCTTAGCAATTATGAGCTATTTCATTCAAGTTACCTCCTAAAGAGTTGAAGTTATTATAGTTTCTATGCTTTAGTTTAGTTTAGTTTATTTATTTATTTATTTTTTCGCAAGCTTCGATTAGCTCCAAGAGACTTTACTTGATGATAAGGACTGTGGTTCAAGTATTCTACTCAAGGTAGTATTTATTCTTGCACACGAAGGAGACTTGAATATGGGGTATAACTAACTCAAGTTGACTTGTGATCTATTTGGATCCAACTCGATGAATGACTCATGAGGTTAGCCTGAGTTTGTCACACCCCAACGGGCCCACCTTTAAGTGTTGGCTGAGGTGTGATAAAGGCAGACAATTTAGCTAGACTAAATTCTCATCAATACTCCTGACTTGCAGAATCAGGACCTAGAGGGATGAAGTTGTCTAACTAAAGCGTCACAAACAATGCGTTGCGTTTCATAATTTTTTTATATTCATACTTGGAAGAGTAGAAAATTATAACATCAAAACATGTAAGCTATACAAAGCTACTAAATCCAATGTAAATAAAATGCTTACCCAAAACTATACAGTGCAATACTGTACAGATCACACTCGAGTACTTGCCCTGATATTTCTTGCACCTATCTGGAAGATAATAACATGGAGTGAGTAACAACCAACTTAGAGAAATTATTAATGTTGAAATAAAATTTTATACATAGAAAAGAAACGTGCATCCCTATATGACTGTTCATTTCCGCACAAAGCATGATATGCTAGAATCATATAAACTTTAAAATAAAAGCAGATAATGTAGAAATCAAGACTACTGTGTAAACATGTATTGTCATATGCATAAAGTCATTAGTATAATCAAAAGCATGTTCATAAGTTGTTTATCGTATGTAATCAACCTAATATTATTTCATTAAGTGTCATTTCATATTATTGTCTTTTCTAAAATGTATAAGCATTAACTATTTTCATGTTTTGTTATCATGGGTCGACAGTCAATAGTCCCGCTGATTCCAATGGTTCTCTACGTTCTGTCACCAACTGTTAAAAACAGTTTAAGAATTTTGTCGCTGTCTGAACACCAGGAGTTGAGAATACCCCATCTCCCTGCATAGCATACTTGGAAGCACTCATGTAATAATCTACTCATAACATTTCTTATGATATTTCTTAAAGTATAATACTTGTAACAAACATTCATAGGTGTTTCATAAAACATAATTCTTGTAATTAAACATTTCATATATCACAGACATGAATCATAACAAAATGAATACCTGCAAGCAATTAATTTTATATGCATGTTTATATGTATCAAAAAATAACATAACATCATATGTATCATAAGAAAAGTTAACTTAGATTCATACATTCCAAGCAGGTATTTATATATAATATGCAAGAAATCTAAATGCAATTATGTCGAATACATAATCACATAAAACCTACAGAAGGTTATTTTTTTAAATTAACACAAGATTATTTTATCTGATTTGACGGAGTAGCCTTAACGAGGAGTTTTCTCATGCTCGTGTCGAGCTCGCCGTTTCTTATAAACAATATGGGAATTCATAAGCTTTGTAGGAATTTATGAAATCCTAGCTCGTCTCTTTATTTAACCCAAAACCTGACTTATTTGCTAGAACTGACGTCAAACAAGTTTCTCGACACAAGCCCTTCCCTTTCAAAACTGTTTATTTTTCTCACCAACTCTTCTTAATGCCTCAAAGCTCCCTTCATCTTCATTGATTTTGTGCTTAAGCCTTTACAGAACATTGTAGACCTCTTTTAACACTTTCGACATAAGTTCAACACCTCTGACAACTACAATAACTAAAAAAGTGTATAAAATTGAGACAAACGTTAAATGGAAAGTGTAAAGAAGCAAAATGAAAGTCTCAAATAGCGTGAAAGAAGGATTCATACCATTTGATTTAATTCTCAAAGTTTTAAATGTCACGACTCGACCCGATGCTTAGAATTAACTAAGGCGAGAACTGTGGTCCGACGCTATTAACTATTCATTTTACTTTCTACAAATTTTTTCAGAGACTTTCAATATATAAAATAGCCACTATTCACAAGGTGCAATAAAATTTAACATCAAGAAATAACAACATAATCTAAAAACCAAATCTCAAACCATTAATTTACAATATATGAAGGAAACAGTAAAAAAGAACTACAAACACAACATAGTAGTACCTATCAGCTGCAGTCCTCTTCCTGTAAACTAAAGCTCTCATACCAGACAAATTAATCTAAAGTTTTTCTTTTTATGAAGAAAATATTAATTTCAAATAAAGTTTTGACTTAGTGAGTAGTTATAATCTTTGTATGAATTAAATTTTGTTGCTTATGCTATGCATGTAGCCGATCCCATGTAGTGGGATTAAGGCTTTGTTGTTGTTGTTGTTGCTTATGCTATGCATGAATGACAAAAAAAAAAAAAAGCAGCTCAGTACTTTATAAAACATTGAATTTTCACTTTAATTATTTCTTTTTCCATTTCACTTTATGTGTTTACCATTTTAACATCATTAATAATCTTAACAGGATTACCGTCATGCCCGAAAGTATTCTAAAAATGTGCGCGAAAATACCATAAAAATGTATCTATCCTCAAATGTACCCGAAGTTACTTACCCTCATGTTATACTCGAAGTTTCCCTTAAATTGTACCCAACGGTACACCTTTAACGTGCACGAGTACATCGCAACATCTGCTAGTATCATCTGGGGTAATCTTGTATGACTTAATCCTTAACATGTCATATCAATTAAGATTCTTTAAAATGTACCTTCATAGGTAAGTTATTTTTCTTCTATCTCTTATGTCATTTCAGATATTCAATATGCAATGTATAAGTGGAACAATTACTTTGAACAATTTAATAAAATAATTATTCATTTACTAAAATATTAATTTAATGCATAAAAAAATAATCACTCACCTTTGTTTTGAAAAGACTTCTAAAAAAATTCAACCTTTCCCTTCACGTCATAGCACCTAAACTAATTAAATGTGCATATAATTATTAGAATTTCATTCTAAAAGAAAAAACTTAAATATTTAAATATATAGGAATGATTAAAAAAGCACTAACCTTTATGAGTTTAAGATTCTTAGCTTTCCTCAAAATTCAAGAATTTAGTAGCCTTCTATACTCTTGCTGATTGCATAAAATTTAATAACATTAATTTAAATAATTATATTATTTATTCTAATAACAATATAACTTTAATATTTACCTTGTAAGTTGCTTAGATTGATCTCCCCTCACTTGCACACTCCAATTTCTCATTCGATTATGAATTCACTATTTGTTAGAGCTCTAAATGTCAAATAAAACTTCTCATTAATATTATTATTAAACACACCCACATATTTTTAACACATATTTAATTGTTCATAAAAAAATTATTAATTATTTTAAAATTTTAAATTTTACCTTGTAAGGTTTTCGGCTTTTCCTCTGCCCTAAGCACACGAGGTTTCGATTGGCCTTCTCCCTTGGACAGAGCCGACAATCTTCCCCTTCAGCCTATACTCAACTGCGCTAGCTCCCTCCTTCGATCCTGATTGGTCTCTCCCAACAGAGCACACAAGGCTTGTTGCTCCTCCTTCGCACGACTCAACAACCCTAACAATCGCACGCAAAACTCACGGTTTCAACTCTTTTCTTCCTTCTCTCCCGAAGGCGAAGCATTGTCGGTTGTGGCCCGTTCCAGTAAACACTTGATGCCACCACCTCCTTCTCTTCCTCTGCTTGCACGTGAACATGGCTTACTCGCCTCCCTCCTTTTCTTCTTCTTCTTCCTACGACTTCTCCGCTCAACTGGGGCACCACAAAGACATAGCATGCTCCCTTCCTCTTCTTTCTTCTTTCAATCGGTTAAGACACGCACAAGAATTCCTCTCTCTCTCTCTCTCTCTCTCTCTCTCGCTCGCTCGGTCATTCCATGGTTTGAACGAAGAGACGATCAAAGGAAAGCAATAAAGGCTTAAGTCATACATGATTACTCCCAGATGATACTGACAGGGGATACAACGTACTCGTGCACTTTAAAGGAAGTGGTAAAAGTGTATTTTCAGATGCAATTTGAGGGTACATTTCAAGTATATTTTGAGCGTGCATTCGTATACAACTTTTGGGTGTCTTCAGACACATTTTTAAGGATATCTTTGGGTATGATGGTAATTCTGTTATGACTATTAATGATGTTAAAATAGAAAATACTTAAAGTGAAACAAGAAGAAATAAAATTAAAGTGAAAGTTCAAGGTTTAATAAAGTGTTAGCTACATTTCAATTTGGTCATTTATGCATAGGATAAACGACATAATTTAATGCATATAGAGATTATAATTATTCACTAAGTCAAACTTACAGTTGAAATTAAAGTTTTATTTTAGGAGAAGAAAACCTTTAAGTTGATATGTCTGGTATGAGAGATTTGATTTACAAGAAAATGACTGTAGTTGATAGATACTAGTGATGTTGTGTTTGTAGTTTCTATTTATTGTTTCCTTCATATATTGTTTAGTATTGGTTTTAGTTGTGATTTTCAGATTATGTTGTTTCTTGATTTTATTGCATTTTGTGGATTGTTAGCTTTTTTATATATTGAAATTCTCTAAAAATTTATGGAAAGTAAAATGAAATGTTAATATTGTCTGACCAGAGTTCCGACCTTAGTTAATTTTAAACAGTGGGTCGGGTGTGACATGAGATGCTGCCTACAAAAGTTTTATGCGCCTGGTTCGCACGACTTTGCTACACTGCACAGGTTGCATACCCCAAGGGAAGAAGATTACAGAAGAGGTGATGAGAAAGTGCAGAACTCTACAACTTTCTTATATTCCACTCGTCCCTTTGCCACAGTGAAGGATTACAAATCCTTTCTGCCATGTGAGAATCTTTCCAGGTGAGTGAGTGAAGAGAGATAGAGGAATGGGAGTGCGGTATTTAAGTAAAATCACAAAATATCATAGCTTTTGGATCTCATCCAACTGCTGCATGTGCTCGAAAGTGTCGTAAGTTCAGCCATGAAAAGTAAAGAGGTCGGATTAGCGAGGAAATGAAGGTTTAATTAATATGATTTTACTCGTAACTTTAGAATTTTATAACTCCTAATCCAAACATAATTAATATATAATGCTATACATGAATTGATCGATTTCATGTATAAAATTTTATAAAAATAATTTGGTTAAATTTTTGGGGATACGAAATTTGGGTACTTTTAAAATTTGTCGAATTTTTATTGGTATCTCAGGTTTGGGTGTTATCGCTCTACCCTCTACCCTTTTTATCTTTTCCGACTTTGAAGAGGAATAATTTTGTGTCATTTCTTCTTTTTGCCATGTGGCTTCTTTTTCAGGCCTGTGCTTCCACTTGATCTTGACAAAGGGAATTTGTTAGCTTCTTAGCATCAATTTTTAAAATGCTTTCAGGCTCTTCAACATATGTTTGATTTTTCTATACTTCAATATCTTCATGTGAAATCATTCATTCTGAGTTTGAAACCCATTTTGTTAGCATTAAAATGTGAAATGCATCATGAATATCTCATATATTCGCTGGTAATGCTAATCTATAAGCAACATAGCCAATCCTTTCTATAATTTCAAAAAGGTGGACTCAATTTGTTTCCCTTACGATATCTGGTTGTACCTTTCATTGGCCTCACTTTCAAAAATAAAATACAAAATCTCTGATTTAAAATTCTTATGTTTTGTGCTTTATATCGTAATATTTCTGTTGTTGATCCTGAACGATTTTCAATCTGTCTTTGATTAATCTAATTTTCTTTGTAGCTTCATCAACTAAATTAAGACATAGCATTTGACATTCACCTACTTCATCCCAATTTAATGGAGTTCTGCATTTTCTGCCATATAGTGCTTTATAAGGAGCCAATTTGAAATTAGATTGATAACTGTTGTTGTAGATTAACTCCATCATTAGAATGTGATTTTCCCAACTGCCTCCGAAGTTGAGAATTCAAAGCCGAGCCAATTTGAAATTGGATTGATAATTATTATTGTAGATTAACTCCATCATTAGAATGTGATTTTCCCAGCTGCCTCTAAAGTTGAGAATTCAAAGCCGCAACAAATCATTCAATACATGAATTGTCCTTTCCGATTGTCCATCGGTTTGTGAATGAAATTCTGTGCTAAAATGTAACTGTGTATCCAAACCTTGCTGAATGCATTTCCATAACCTGGACATGAATCTTTTGTCCCTTTGAGAAATGATGACTTTTGGAATTTTATGTAATCTAATAATTTTTTTACATACAATCTGACCAACTTTTCAACTAAAAATGTCTGTTTAATTAGCAAAATGTGAGCTGACTTTGTTAATATGTTAATAATAACCCAAATATTGTCGTGGACTTGTCTGGATTGAGGAAATCTCATAGCAAAATCCATAACAATTTCCTCCTATTTCCATTCAAATATAGGCAATGATTGAAGCAATCAGCTGGGTTTCTGATGCCAATCCTTTACAATCTGACAAGACTAACTTTGAGATATATATCGAGCAACATCTTTTTTCATACCTGGCCACTGGAATACAAATTTTAAATCATTATACATTTTTATGCTGCCTGAATGAATTGTGTAGTTTGAATGATAAGCTTCATGCATAATTTTCTGTCTTAAATCAGAGTCAAACAATACCCATAACTGCAGTTTTTTTATAATTACACCATCTTTATTAACTGTCATATCAGTCTTTTTTCCTGATTGAATTTAAAAAATTTCGGATATTCGTTGCTAATTCTCTGAGCTGCCTTAATAATTCTATCTATCAAAGTTGATTGCAATGTCAATTGATATAAATATCCCATATTACTTTGTATTCTAACTTCCAAAATCAAGACATCAATTTCTTTAATCAACTATGACTTATGTGATAATCCAACTTGCACTGTCTGTGAATTTACGACTCAAAGTATCAACAACAACATTTGCTCAGAACATTATTGTATGTCCAAGTCATAGTCTTTGATTAGTTCTAACCATCTTTCTTGCCTCAATTTCAGCTATTTGTGTGAAAATGTAGTTCGGACTCTGATGATCAATAAACTTCACATTTCACGCTGTCTATGTAATGTTGCAAACTCTTAAAAGCAAACACTACAACAACGAGGCGTAACTAAAAATCTGGAATTTTTCTGTACCTGATGGAATAGTTGAAATTGAAGTGGTCAAATATTTTTTGAACTTTTGAAAACTGTGCTCATTTTCTGCATTCCACTGAAACTGAATGTCTTTCTTCATCAATTTTGAATAAAGGCATAACTATATGTGAAAATCCTTTTACGAACCTCTTGTAATATTCAACCAATCTATGGAAACTGTGTACCTCAGTATTATTTTTTGGAGTAGATCATTTTTACAATTGCTTTCACATTCTAAGAATCAATTGAGATTCCTTGTTCATTGATAATGTGTCACAAAAATACAATATTTCACAAGTAAAGCTTACATTTCAAAAATTTTACATTCATTTGATTCTGCCTCAACAGCTCCAAAACTATCCTCGGATGCTTGGCATAATCCTCATCAATTCTTGAATAAATTAGAATATCGTCAAAAAAATAATAACAAATTGATTCACATAAGGTTTGAAAATTCAATTCATTAAGTCCATAAATATAGCAGGAGCATTGGTTAAGCAAAAATACATAACTAAGAATTCATAATGATCATATATAAACCAAAAGCTGTCTTAGTTATATATTTCTTTTTGACTATGACCTGATGATATCCCGATAGGGCTGTAAACGAGCCGAGCTTGAGCGAGCTTGCGGCTGGGGCTGTAAGGGAGCCGAGCTTGAGCGAGCTCGTGTTCGGCTCGTTCGAAATAGCTCGTGTTCGAAATCGTCTCGTGAACAGTGTGTTCGTGTTCGACTCGATTTAAATATTCGTGTTCGTGTTCGACTCGTGTTCGGCTCGAAATTGGCTCGTTAAACTAAAATTAAGGAAAATAAATGTTAAGTGTGGGATTCGAGCCTGGGTCAAACCTATACAAAAGAAGACACTAACCACATTGTCACATGAGATGTTATGAGTTAAACTTAGACATAAATATATATAATATATTATTATATAAATAATATATGTAATATATTGTTATATAAGAAGTTATATATATATTTTTTTTCGAGCCATTTCGAGCCGAACTCGAGCGAACAAACTGTTGTTCGTGTTTGGCTCGTTTTTAACGAACGAGCCGAACACGAGCTGCTTAACGAGCCGAACACGAGCTGTTCACGAACAACGAGCCAAATTGACAACCCTATATCCCGATCTCAAATTAATTCTGGAAAATACAATAACACATTCTAATTGATCAAATAGATCATCGATGCTAAGTAAATGATACTTGTTCTTGATTGTTACTTTGTTCAAACTTATATGATTAATGTATATAACCACATAAATCCATCCTTCTTATTGGCAAATAATATTGGAGCACTTCATGATAACTTTTTCAGCCTGATAAAAACTTTATCTATCAGTTCCTGTATTTGACAGTTTACCTGCTATAATTCCTTCGAAGCTATCTTATACGAAGATTTCAAAAATGCAGATGTTCCCAGTTGTACGTTAGTTTCAAATTGAACTTCTCGTTCTGGTGGTAACCCTAGCAATTCTTTAAAAAATATATCAAAAAATTCTTCAACGATTGAAATGCTTTTCAATTCCTGTATATCTTTATTCAACACTTCTAATTTGACCAGAAATACTAGTTCTTAACTCGCAAATACTTACCAAATTTCACTGCACTAATTAGGGACAATTTTGCATTTTGATCACATACGATATATAATGAATTTTCACCTGGCAGTTTGAGTTTTACTCACCTTTTACAATATCTAATTGTAGCAAAAATGAATTACCAATCAATCCATCCCCAGTATGACATCAAAAGTCTAAATTGGTATGATAATTAATTTTACTGATTATTAGTATGTACAACTCATTTTTAGTTTACATAAAAACCACTTCCCGAATGCATGAGAACACACAAAACTGAGGTATAATGTATAATATCAACATGTAAACTAGCAACAAACTTATCAGATATAAAGAAATGCAACGCACCTGATCGAATAAAATAGGGCCAGACTGATCTTGAATCAGAAGCGTACCTGTAACTACTTCAGATTCTTTTGCTTCTTGAGGCGTAATTGTAAAATTCGGGTTTTTACTGGTTGCTCAATTTTGCGTTCTGAAGTTGAACCCTTTGCTTTAGTAGAAGGCTTTCCTAAAAATTGAGATTTGTTGTGCTGACTGTATTCCACAAATTTCCTAGGTTGTCCCTATCCTTGAATTGTTAGTGGTTAGGTGTCTCTTTTCTTTTGTTGCAGAGAATTCATTTGAATATTCACTGGTTGTTCATATTAGCACTTTCCTGAATCAATCAAATACTACCACAAATGTCTTTTAACACACTTTTCACAAATGGTCTTTTCTACGTGAGACTGCCTCTGCTTATTTTCTGGTTTAATTTTATTTCTTTTAAAGTATTCTCCTTTGCCAAAATCCTTTCGTTTGTTTATTTGTGGTTGCCATTGCTGATTGCCAAAGTTAATTCATTTTCTATTCTTCCGAATCTTTCAACTAACACGTCGAAATCACTTATGCAAACGACACCAATGTCAACTTCAATTGATTTCTAAAACCATGTAGAAATTTGTAACATTTTTTCTCTTTGATACTGACATAGTGAGGTGCATATCTGGAAAGAGAAGTGAATTCTGTTTCGTAGTGCGTAACTTTCTTGGACCCCTGAGTCAAATTGAAGAATGACTTGCAACGCTAATCTGGCTGATGGTGAAATAAATCAATCTTTGAAGACGTTAACAAACTCATCCCACTGAATCTGTGGATGAGGTTTCAGCTAAAATTTTTCTCTATGTTTACACCTGCCAACATCTCTTTGCTTCACCTTCTAGCTTGAAAGTAGCTAACTCCACTTTTTTTGTTTTTCGAACAAATCATACAATCCAAAATTTTTTCGATCTCCAATAACTGTAGAGTCACTAGCACCCTTGAATGCATGTGGCTTGAAAGATTGAAATATCTTCAAGTTTTGATCAATTTCTTCCCCAATATCAAATCTGGGCCTTGTACTAGTGGATGATGTTTTGATAACATCTAGTTTTTCGACCACTTGTGATATCAATTGCACTATGCTCTGTAACTCAGTAGCTCTGGTGTTCTCTTTTGTGTGGTTCTGCTTTTCATTTTTTCAAAATTTTTTTAGTTCTTGCTCTGCATTATGTAGTTTTTTATTCTTCTTCAGACATGTTTATTTGTATTGAGGACAATTATTATTCAAATGTAATTTGTCATATAATAATTTTATCGTGCATGCATGATACTTTACGTCGTATGGGTTCCTACCC